CACACTATGGACACCCCCATGGAGGGCCTCACCCTCCCTGGAGAAATGAGGGGATAACGGGGGGGGAGGGCACGGGAGGAAGGGAGGGAATGGGAGAGGGACCTGGAACTGACTTGTGAAGCAACCTTAATTCTTATCTAAATTTAAACTGGAAAATAAAATTAAAAAATAAAAGAATTAGGATAAATCTCACACTAGCAACTGAATAGCACACCTGAAAGCTCTATAAATAAAAAAGGAAACAAGCTCACCCAGGAGTAGTAGACAGTTGGAAATAATCAAACTGAGAGCTAAAATCAATAAAATAGAAACAAGGAGAACAATACAGAATCACTTAACAAAGAGTTGGTTCTTCAAAAAATCAACAATATAGATAAACCGATATCCAAACTTACCAAAAGAAGGAGAATGAATATTCAAATTAACAAGATCAGAAATGAATAGGGGCATGTAACAACAGACACTGAAGAAATCCAGAGAATCATTAGGTCATTCTTCAAAAACCTGTAATCCACAGGATTGGAAAATTTAAAATAAATGGACAATTTTCTGGATGAGAATCACATACCAAAATTAAATCAAGAGCAGATAAACAATTTATCTGGAAATGGAAGCAGTCATCAAAAGTCTCTCAACCAAAGAAAGACCAGGACCAGATAGTTTCAGGGCATAATTATACCACAACTTCAAAGAAGAGCTAATACAAATACTAATCAAGTTGTATGAGAGGAGAATAAGCAAAAATAAATAAAAAAATTTTGACCCATAACGTAAAAACAAGCATTAAAAATCAGATGATAGGGGAAAATCCTGTTTTATTTTGATGTGTATACCTCTAGTAATATATATACATATATATGAATAACAAATGCTTTTCACATGAAGCTGTCTGATAACAATCTTTATTCAGCTTTTCTATTATTCTTCGCTTGTAGGAGTTCTTTTTATACATGACTGGAGACATGCATACATAACTATTTCTCCTCACCAATTTTTTTCTAACTCAATGATATGCTTTATTCTAAATCTTGAAAGATACTAATTTTTAGGATAAAATGTACTATTTTATATATTTTTATTAGTTCTTTGAGAGTTTCTTGCAACATGCTGGTGGCATAGTCTCCCTCCCTCCCCCACTATTCTCAGACCTATCTCATCTTCCTTAACTATCAAACTTTGTGTCAATACAAAACAAAACAAAACAAAACACCCATCAAGACCAATTTGCTGTCCAAGTATTCTTGGATATATTTTCTTCCACTAGAGCATGTTCATTTACCAAGGACTACTTTCTTAGAGAAAACTGTTTCTCCCTCTCCTAGCAGTTAACAATTGACAATATATCTATGGCATGATGTAGAGTTCGATGACTAACTGCTCTTTCCATGCTGGGATTTTGGTCTGGATTGGGTTTATCAGGTGGTTCTTGCTGGTAATGTCTTGTGGTTGCAAATATGTGAGTTATTTCATGCTAGGTTTTGCCATGATATTCTGCCATATGGTTTTAGGCATCGTCTGACAGGTAGTTCTTTCTGGGGATATATTGTGGCCTTTCTTCTGCAGTTCTGTTGGGTGGTTTTAGATGGGTATTTTCTAGAGAATCCTTGATGGGGTTCTGATAGGCTGGTTTTTCTGGGGCTCTGTCTTGTGTTGCTTCCTGGAGATCTTCATATTGTTCCTTTGGATTAGTTGCTTCTTGGTGATGGTCCATTAGATAGTTGTTTCTATTGACCTACCACATGGTTCTTTCTGTGGGTCCCTTCTGTACTTCTTCCTGGAGTTTTCCATATTACCCTGTCTGGGAAGCTGCCACATAGTGACAATTTTGTACCTCCTCCAAATGGAATAATTCAAATTCTGAGATAGGCTGAAGTATCAGAGTTTCAGGGCTTCTTCTCTCAGCTTTTTGGTGACACAATTAAGAATTACAAATACTATAAGCTAAGATGGTCATCTCTACCTGTCCATGCAGTTTTATTTCAGGTCGCCAGCTTAGACTTACAGTATGACAGCCCCAGGATGTTCAGTCTTCTTGCATAATGCCCAATTACCCAAAGATTTTTTTCTTCTAGTACAGCAAGGATGTTGATAGGATTCTTATAACTTGGCCCTGAAAGTCACTCTAAATCAATTCCACTGTACTCTAGTGATTGTATGTCCTAGATTCAACACAGGATGGAGATATACAAAGATCCTAATGCTGAGAGGCATGGTTTGCTGCTGTCATCTTTAAAGAAGTTTTGCATTTGTGCTACTCTCTGAAATGAAGGAAAATGCACCAACTTGCCATTAAACAAGACAGGCCTTTTGTCTTTAAGACAAGGTAAGTCTTGTCTATTTCCTTAATACTTTAAAATTAAAAAAAAAGTAACTTTCATCCTAGGCACAGATGTAGGCAGCGAATGACGTAGATCTGCTCTATTTGACTTCATCTGTAGTTTGCAGTTTTGCCCTTCAGGTTACACACACTTGTTTCTGGAAGGATTCATGGTATCTTAGTTCAAATATTATTAATGAAAGGCATTACTTACTGCCTAGATATACCGGCATCTAAATGTATGAGAACACCATTTGATAAGACATTGTTCCATCTTCAGAGAATCTAGGATGAGAGTAGACAGAGGAAACAAATTTCATATTTCAGATTTGGCTTATAACTTCATATAGTTATCTAAACATCTTTTTCTTAGACCCTCAAATTTTATCTTGAATCTCTGTCATGGTGAAATGAAACTATTTTTCAGGTTCTAAGAATAGTTTAGCAAACAAAACAGTACAAATGATAAATGTGAACTCTTATATGATTTCAGCTGGGATTTATTAACAGAAGATGTATTTCTTCTTCTGGGTCATGAAGAACATTTTTTTTTCATTATCTGTATCTGCCAAGGAAGGTTACGGTGAAATAGACAAAATGTCAGAAATAATTAAGAAATATGTAGGGGAACTACCAACCAAAAATTACATTCTTTGGTGATGTCTGGTTTCGTCTTCTTGGTCCCTTGACATATATAAATACCACATATCACATCTTTCATAGGACTCTGTGTAAGGTCAAAGCTGATGAGCACACAGTACAGTAAAAGCAAAGGACAAGAAAGACTTTCTCTGAGAAGCTAGAGGTTGTGGGTTCTAGTTAGTCAATGTACATTACATACTTGATGCAGCCTCTAGAGTCCTTTAGATTTGTGGCATAAAAGGCCTCCTATATTTGTAGTCAGTTTGTATTATAAGTTTCAAACACATATCTATGGTATTATTTTATAATTCTATCATTTTAACTACAAAATTTCTTTTAAATACATTTCTATTTTCTCCCTTACTTATTAGATTGACAAAGTAGTAAAATCAACAGAGGGAAAGTGTTGACTTTCTGTAAGAGCCTGGCATGGATTTTTACTTCAGATGACTCCCTTATTCAAATGGTACACACTTACAAGAATTTTCTCATTGGCTATAATAGATATAAATCATTTGTTATTACTCAGTTTCTGAACATGTAGATAAGAAATACAACACAGAAATCTTCCTATCTAACATTTTAAATTACTCATTAGCTGTGGTAATTATAAAAAAATTCAATACAATCTTTTAAATGTACCCATGCTAAGCAACTTTAAATATTACATTCGAGTAATTAATTGTTCTGCACATAATTGGAATTCTCATTATTTCTATAATACAAATATGAAAATGAGGTCCAGGGAGGACAAGAAATTCTTATGAGGTTTATCCCATCAGGAAGGGGAAAGCCTGAGTTTACACCTCTGCTTGTAAGATATTCTCTCTAGGCTAGGAACGATTAACACTTCTTTCTCTTTTGATGTTCTCTTACTTCCTTTAGCTTTTGTTTTGTTACTAAACTTGAATAGCACAGAATCTACCAACTCTCAGACTTCTACATATGCCAATCAAGCTAAGCTCTTGTCTGAACCATTAACAATTTCCATAGATAGAATAAAAATAATAAAAGCACTTGATTCTCTGTAACCCACACTGAAATTTCAGTATTTACTCACAGATACATTTATTTCATATATTCTATATCTCAGTTGTTTATTTTTTTAACAGTAAACAATCTACTTTATTATTGTCAAGTCAGAAAGTCTCTTGTTCTAATGAAAGGAAATTCAATTAAGTTGACAATCAAGTAACATCATCAAAACACCCCCAAGCTTCAGTGGGAGGAAAGAGTATTCATACTATATAGCCTGAGCAACTCTCTCTAGGTTTAGTGCTATGTTAAAAAGAATGGTATAAAAACAGGTCAACTCCATAGTGAGAATGGTTATTGGCAGTCCTACATAGTAACAGTCACCACTAGCTCTTAAAGAGAACCAATAGATTTTTCAGACTACATATTTTGCTCAATAGCACACAAGGGGGTGTATGTTAAAGAGTACATAAGGCTAAATCTACCTTATTTATAGTTAACTCTTAACTCTTCTCAAAATTTTAGACTAAATCACTTAAAGTAATACATGAAAAGGCTTCATGTTTAACAATCTTTAATTCAAATGCAAAAGTTCAGTACAAGCCAATGGTAGGGCTTGGGACTTATTCGTTTTAAAACAAAATAGGGGAAATGCAACAAGATGATCTTTCCATTTTCAAAAGCTTTCAAGGAAAGGATCATAGATAGGGCCATAAAGGATCCATTTAACCAAACCCCCTTTCTCTCACTACCAGTAGTTTATACCCATTCCGTAATCTTAATACATGTTCCTGAATTAAGATTTACACTTTGACTTTTCTAACATAACCATTTAAAAATGCTTAGCACCAGCTTGCTTCCTATAATGCCAAACAACTAACTACATCAATATGCATTTCTTTTTAAAACAAGGGGAGGGTCATTTGTAGAAAGCAATGCTTAGCCTCCAGATACATTTCCTGAAATGGCATATGCCATTCAAAGGCCTACACACGCTCGTGCTTTCCAAGTGGAATACCTAGCCTAATGTGCTTAGAAGCATGAATGGCAAAGTTGAAGATCAGTATTGTAACTATTTTTCTATTTATTCGAAGCACAGTAAAAAAAATGGTACACTTTGGAAATTCAGTGGCACAAGGTACACTGCCATTAACTTGAGAAACATTATACAGTTAAAAAAAAGTAAATAAAAAGAAAATTTTTTTCTCCTGTTTTGAACACTGCGTTACATAATTTTACCTGCCCAAACAGACCATTTACAACTATCAGGTCAATAAACTGCTAACATCCATAAAAAGGTAGCTTTCTTACTAAAATGCAAGAATTTAAAAGTGGTATCTAAACAAGAAAAGACAAAAACAAACTGAATGAAAGCCTAGATATCTAAAATCGTGGTTTTTTGTTTGGCCCTTCATACTCTTCTCTTCCTCTACCATATCCTGCTGGAGTTCCAGGCCCCATTCCTCTAGGACCCTGTCCACACACAGGACCCGCACCTCCCTGCCCAAAGCGCTCAGTACGCATGTCACTTCCCATCATGGAACCACTCATGGTTGCCGGTGGAACTCCAGGATTAGCTTCATAACCTATGCCACCACCACCACCTAGAGGTGGAAATTTCTGGCCTCCTGAACCATAGGGATCTCCCATGTTCATTGTTCCTCCACCACCCATTCTCATGTCTCTTTCTCTTGGATCCATGTAGCCCATTCTGCTGTAACTTTCTTCTCGCTGGCGTCTCATCTGTTCTTCCATCTCTCTTTGGCGAATCATTATCTCTTCCTCTCTTCTACGTCGTTCCTCCTCTTGCCTCAGCTGCATTTCTTTACGTTTCTGCATTTCTTGACTGTGAAGTTCTTCCATGTGCCTCAGTTCCTCCTGGCGTCTCATCAGATCTGGGCGCAAAAGATTTGCTTGATGCTCATGGTAGGCATCTTCCATTTCACTTTCCAATTTATCTTTCGCATCCTTCATGTTTTTTTCAACTTGTTCCCTTTGCTGTTTTTCCATTTCATCCAAGGACTTCCATCTTTGAGAATATTCATACTCAAATGTGCCATGCTGAGCAAAACGAGGAGGTGTTTCTCTCTCCTTTTGATACATTGGATTCTTCTGGGCCAGTTTTTCAGGAAGACCATCTTTGTCATCTAACTGTTCAAGAGGTTCCACAATGACTGGGCGAGGAGTCGTTGTCAATAGGAAAGCACCTTCACTGCATCTTTCAAATGCTTTTCTTGCTGCTGGCTTTGATTGTTTATATATTGAAAAAACATTCATAGAATGAGGTTAAAATGCAGCCTTATACCTATAGAACATATTTTGAAAGCACAGCTAAGAACATTTATGGCTGTCAATTGCATTTTGATGGAATCCAGACCACATGAAGGGCTTGGTGTGTTGAGTTTCAACACTGTAGAAAGTGTTTATTATTTATTTATTTTATACCCTGGCCTCACTTTCCCCTCCTTCTTCTTCTCCTAGTTCCTCCCCGAAAACCTCCCTCTGTTCTTACCTCCTAATCTGCTTCAGACCCATTTTTATTTAGAAAAGGACAGGTTTCCTGTGAGTATCAACAAAACATGGCATATCAAGTTATAGTAAGATTAAGCACATCTTCATGTATTAAAGCTAAGCAAGACAACTCAGTATGAGGAGTAGGGTCCCAAAAGTCAGCAAAAGAGTCAAAGACAGCCCCTTCCTACTGTTAGGAGTCCCACAAGAGGACCAAGATACACCACTGTCACATATATGCAGAGTGCCTAGGTCAGTCCCATGCAGGGTTCCTGGTTGTCAGTTCATTCTCTGTGAGCCCCTGTGAGCCCATCTTAGTGATTCTTTGAGTTTTCTTGTGGTGTCTTTGACCACTCTGGCTTCAACAATCCTTTCTGCCCTTCTTCTGCAGGATTCCCCAAGTGCCACATAATGTTTGGCTATGGGTCTGCATCTGTTTCTACCAGTTTCTGGATTCCACCTCTCTGATGACAGTTGGGCTAGGTACCAATTATTCTGTTCTTTAATTTTTCATTTTAATTAAAATATAATTGAATGATTTACCCCTTCCTCTCTTCCCTCCAATAATTTTCATGACCCCTCCACTCCCTCTCAAATTCATGGCCTGCTTTTCTTTGACTAATTTTGTCAAAAATATATAAACATAATCTACTGAGTCTGTTTAGTTCCACTCCTGTGTATATGAGCTCATAGCTGATCTTTTGTTATTAAATAATCAATTTAAGGACTTATCCCTGGGAAATACTAATTCTACCTATTTCAGTAGTCATTGGTTTGCCCATAGCTCTTTATCTAAGAGTGTGCCTGTAGTTTCTGTCTTCCACATTAACATATCTGTTGGTACTGTCATTGTTCAGGTCAAGCTTAGGCAGCCATACTGTTGAGTATTATGGATTTAGCTTCCATGTCATTTCCAGGACACACCATCTCACACTAGACTTTCTGGTCCTCTGACTCTTACAGTCTTAATGATGTCCTGAGCCTTAGGTGGAGGCATTGTGCTGTGGACATAACCTTTGGGTCTTGGCATCCAAATGATCATCTGTCCTCTGAATTATGACCAGATGTGACTTTCTGTAATGTCCCTGGCTGTTGCAAAATGAAGATTCTTTTATGATGGCTGAGAGCTACACTTACCTGTGGTTGTATGGATAAGAGTTAGAATGCAACTGCTACATGTTGGTTTAGTAAAGTAGCAGTGGTATATTCTCTTCTAAGATTCATGATGTCCTAGTCACAGGTAATTATAGCCTTTGATTGTGGAAGTCCATTGTATTCCCCTGTCCAGCAATTTTGTACAGCTTCTTATTTCTGGTACTTGAGGTTTTGTTAGACAGTCTATGACTCTTATGGGGTTCATAGTCAGCCCAAGTGGCATGCATATCTTCATATATGTGAGATTTTGTGTGTGTGTATGCAATTTTAGATGAATATGATTCCTTAAGGCTTTCAAAAACAGCAATATTTATTTTTAAAACTTATTTTTTACTATGTTTATTTGTATGTGTTTGTGTGACATAGACATGTGTCTATGTCATGTGCTTACAGTATGTGTATAGGTCAGAGGAGGGTGAGAGATTCTCTGCAATTGTAGATGCAAGCAGTTATGATCTGTTCAGCATGGATACTGAGAACAAAACACAGGTCCTCTCAAAGAGCAGTAAGTGCCCTTAATCACCAAGACATACTCTAGCTTCAAATTTCTAGAATTTTTTTTTTGGTTTTACAAGACAGGGTTTCTCGGTATTGTTTTGGAGGCTGTCGGTCCAGCCTGGTCTCGAACTCACAGAGATCTGCCTGCTTCTGCCTCCCAAGTGCTGGGATTAAAGGCGTGCACCACCACTGCCTGGCTAGAATGTTTTAAATTCAGACTTTCATTTGGTGATCATGCATTACAAAAAATATTTGGAACAGTTTAAATCAGTGCCTTCTTAAAAGAGATTTTGGAAAACTTAAAAGTGCATGAACTAAAAAAAACCCACACAACTTTCACCCACATTCAGAGGGTCTAATTTGGTCCTCTGCAGGTTCCCCCACTGTCAGTCTAGAGTCAGTGAGCTCCCACTGCTCAGGACATCTGTTTCTGTGGGTTCTCCCAAAATGGTCTTGACCCCTGTGCTCATATTACCGCTCCTCCCTCTCTTCAACTGGACTCTGGAAGGGTGGGGGTCCTTGGTCCTGCCTCAGAGAGATGTGCCACACTTTGTTGATTCCCCATGGGAATCCTTACCCTCTCTGAGGAGTGGATAGTGTGTACAGTGGGGAGAAGGTGGGGAGAGCCGGAGACAGGGAGGGAATGGGAACTGGAATTGGTATGTAAAAAATAAAAGATTGTTTTAAAATAAAAAATGATATAAAACAAAACAAAACAAGAACTGGCGGTATTCACTTTTATTCCCACATATGGGGAGGCAAACAACTAACCTTGTCTCATAGGTCAGTCGTATGTTCCTGTGTAAAACCTTGTCTGAAAAAAATTAAGTCGAATAGTTATTAGGAGGCAAGAGCTAAGCTTGACCTCCAGCTTTGCACATATATGTACATGCACCTGTATGTATATTTACCTGAACCTGCACCTGCACACTCATGCATAGGTACATACACAAATTAACGAGTAAATAAATAAGGGAAAAGAAAGAATCAGACAAAGAAATGTGCAATGTTTAAGTTTATATAATTATCTTAAAATCAATGTTTATGTTCAGTAAACTATAAATAATACCTTAAAATAATTGTCAAACAAATAAATATAAGATGCTTCCATGAGATTACTATGAAGTATACACTTATAAATCTCAGTACTAGATGGAGCTTGAAGACATTGGGGCATTCTTATTTGGTAGAAAGAAACACAACTGGCTGAAAATTTCCCAGAATCTAGGAATTTTCTAAAAGCTTGAGAAAAAGTGCTTATTCTCAGTTATGGCTCCAAAACATATAATTCTAGGAGTAGCACAAAAACTACAAAATATAACATTGGTTGATCTAAAACTCTACTTAAGATAACATCTTCTAAGGAAATAAATGGAGACCCAGGAAAAATATTTGTATGTAAGGATTTTTAACAATAGTTTAAATTAAAATTTATAAAGCTATAGAATTATTGAGCAATTCGCATATAATCCTGGTATAATATCAGGCTGCTGTGAAAAATTGCCACCTTGATAGGATATACTATTAAGCAATAGATTTCTGAAGGTCAAGAATAAAAAAAATGGATCTCACTCCCAACACACACAAGAAACAACAAAATAAAGCAAAATAGTTATTGTTTTAGTTATATTTTAGACCATTTTTATTTTCTTCTTTAACTTTGCTAAATTCTCTTAATTTTTTACAAGGAATTGTATTACCTTGCAACTCATGAGAAAGGAGTGGAATAAAATCCAGAAGATAAATTTTTTACATTTTCTATTGAACACATTGATTTACAGATTAAATTGCTATTTAAGTGCTTTGAGTTACTCAACTGTGATAATTGAGTCTTGTCACAGAGCTCCAAAGCTTCATGTAAAATTGCAATATGAGGGACCTAACTTTTGAGTAAGAAGTAAAAGGGGGCATTTAGCTGATAAATATCCACTGGTAATAAGAAACCTGACTTTTAGTATCAAAATATATCTGAAAACGATGGAACTAAAAGGTTACCTGAGTAGAAGTCAGAGTTTGAAAGCATTAATTTTGTTCCTGTTGCCAAGACAACCATTTCTTTTCATGATAGGCTCAGACGGTGGTTCAAGTGGAAACTGCTTTTGGATATCTGGACTCCCTCTCCACTTTCACCCACCTCCAGACTCCTGTCGACAGAGAAGAGGGCAGAGGAAAGGTAAAACAGTGATTAGTACTGGGTGTATTTAACTGTAATCTTAGCAAATTATAATCTTGCAGAATATTTCCATCTCCTACCATGCTAATATTAATAACAACTATTGAAAGATATATAATAGAATTTTAATATGTCCATTATATTTATGTATCAATTTCTCCATGTATCTTAAATTAAATTAATACCTTACATTCTTTTGTCTTTAATGAACCTCTGGGAAGGTTACCTGCTCTGTTATATGGCACTTGTCACTGGAGATAATAATTGTCATCTCACCTCAGGCATGAAATTGTTATCTCTTATCTATTTCTTTTCAGCCCAGAACTTGTATTTTTCCTTACATTCCCAAAGGATCAGAAGGACAAAGATCAAAAGAAAACTTTTCATTAAGATCAGCTTAAAGGTCTTGAAATAATAAAGAAGAAGTTCATCACAGAACATTGAAACGAGATAACAATTGTGCATAAGTTCAAAAGTCCAAGGACTTTCACTGGTGTGGTTGCTCATTCCAAGGAGCCAGAGGCAGCAGATGTCAGCTACCAAAAGAAAAAGTTCATCTTTGCCAGTTGAAAGGCCAACTCTCCAGGCACCATTGTGCATCACTCTGGGTCTAATAATTCCTGCTCCAAAAGGGGCGATGATTTCCCCGACTGTTCACTTCCTTATCTATTGACCTTGAGTGTGGATTTCCACCTCCACCATCTGGCCATTAACCATTAACACTTATGGAATGAGAAACAGAAAAGTTTCCCAGTCGGGTTTCTGTCCATAGTGGCTCAGAACTCCTAATGCTTCCCAGTTTGTAGTTTGTCTCTCTTAGCTCACAGTAAAATAGCTTTCACATTGGATTCTTCTAAATCGATGTCATTGTAGATGAACCTCATAGACAATGGACAAGTGTATCACCCATGTATTTTCTTGCTGAAGGTCCTTCCTGATA